ATCTAAGTCATTTCTGAGGAAGGACTGAACTTTTTTTGTTTTTTTAAAAGAACACAAAATCGTAGGATCATAAATCATAGGACTCGAAGGGACCTTGAGAGGTCATCTAGTCCAGTCTTCTGCACTTGTGGCAGGGAAATGTTGAAGAGTTATACAATGAATTGCCATTAAAGACAGTGGGCCTGCTCCTGCACCCGTTGACATAAATGACCAAACAGTCAGTTTCTCTCCTCGTGGCATGCTGCCATAGCTGAGAGCAGCAGAGGTCCTTGAGCTGCAGCCTCATTGGTGTAAATGAGAAGGGGTTGCTGGCAGGCCGTTCTTGGCAAAAGCCCTACAGCTTTGAAATTCACTTCCCCCTCTTTGGGTTCAAAATAGCTCTGATTTGAACTTCAGGGTGCCTTGCAAGACTCATCTATCCCCCCTTCCCCCACCCTCATGACAGTTGAAAATGGGGAAGAATGGAGGGGTAAATTGTTTTGAGGAGGGATTGGAGTGGGATATCTATTTGCTAAACTTGGTATGTACGTGTAATCTCTGCCAACGACACCTAGAGCGTATGGATGGGCACCCTCTTTAGCATGTCTATAAACCTAAATAAAATGTCCATTGACTTGAATAGGAATGGGATCGAGCCTTGTTTTTTGCAGCTGAAATGGTATTTCAGCTCTAACCTGTAGCTATTTTAGTAAGCAACCATTTAAATAGAACCTCTCTGCAGTTTGGAAATGTCTGAATGTCTTTTGAAAAGCTCTTCCAAACTTTAACAAAGTTAAAGAACACTGTGATGGGCTTAGGATGTGAGAATACTTCACTGTTAATTGAAAGGCTCTTTTTGTGAGTATCACAGTCAATGACTTGTCTTGAGCAGCTAATTAGTACGATTATTCCACAGCTGCATTAGTTTCACCACAAAGGTTTTTCTCTTGTTTTATCAAAAGGATCAGTCTCTCTGCGAATGTTTCAACCTGACAGGCCTTAAATAGCAACACAGCCTCTTCTCCCTCTTTTCCCCCCGCCCCTTTTTAAGGAAAATTAGATTGTGCGCTCTGGAAAATCTGGGTTTAATGTTATTTAAACAAAATAACCCCTTTCCCTTTTTATTCCTACTGTGAACAATTTAATTTTAATGTACTGGTTCTAAACACCGCTTGCCAGATTTGCTGGAGATCTCAGCTCACACTGAGTGCAATGGGAACTATTGGGTGTTGAGCACCTGAGGATCAGATTTCTCAATGGGAGATGTTGGGTGCTGAGCACGTCTGAAAATCTGGCCCTTTACCTATGCAGTGGTGTCGCTTGACTGGAATGGCTGCACTTTAACATGTTAATGTCGTTCTTGTCATTTGAAAGCATCATACATTTTAAATGTTAATAGGCATAATACCGTTTAATTTTTGTGTGATTAATGCTGTTGATTTAACATTTAATCTAATCAGAAAAAAATGTGTTTTGCAGCTGAGATTTCTGTTGGGAGGTGTTGGGATCTGGTTCTTAATAAGAACTCAGACATAGCAGGTGTTAGTGCTCTTTGTTTCTGACTTCAGTAGAAGTTACGGCTTTTGAAAATCCCAGTCCTACTGTATGAACTCGGCATATGCTGTGGATTTGATCCTACGCCGATCAGCTGCAAAGGTGAAGGTTCAAGCAACAAATTCATGTCTGTACTTGGGGGGGGGAGGGGTGCATATCTAAAAGAGACTTCACTGTCTTGTGTGGATGCGTTATTTCTGTAATATTATCTGTTCTTAACTGCTGAGTAGCTTTAACCGTCTACAAAATGCACTTGCCTACCTTCCATAGAGGTGCTGCTCAGTGGTTTTAAATTATTTTGGGTGGTTCTTGGAAAGACACCATAGAAATAATCGTTATTTTTTATTAAGGTTCCTCTTTTAAAGGGTTTTTAATGAATGATTAATTGGCTATTGTAGATTGCTATAGCATGCAAGAGGTCAATATAACCACTTTAAACACCTTCTACTGATGTACTTGTAATCATCTATATACCGCATACTACTTTATATACTACTGTAAAACACACAACATGTTATTCATTTATTAACTCTTTGTAAACTACTCGTAAATAAAATCTCAATATAAAGTCTGACTAATAATTATAATAAATCTAAATATACATGGCATTATACAGCATAGTAGTTGGAAAGAATCAGCTCAAATAAAAATATTTTACAATAGTGTGTGTGTGTGTGTGTGTGTGTGTGGTTTTTAAAAAAGTGGCATATGTGAAATGGATCAAAATGGGAATGAACCAGAAACTTTCTTAACCTCCCAAAGTTGTCCTTGGTCAGGTATCTGTTTGATTATAGCAGTCCCTGGTAGGTGGGATATAAAATGTACAGGTTGAATAATAATATTAACCGGCACTGAGTCTTCCTTTTACACTTCAGATTGTCACGTGTTCAGGAAAAAACAAATATCATGTTTTTTTCAAATATCTTGTCTTCAACCTTTCCAGTTTCTTTTATTCTCTTTCTCTCTGTCTGCTTTTCCTGTGTCGTGTTATATGTAAAATATGGGATTTGTATTGATCATTGTGTTGTGAACAAAGAACGGGCCAGATCATTCCATCTGTGGAAAAACAGCATTGCAGAAGGCCTCTCGCAGCTACTCCCATATACCCTTCATACCCTTCACTTCCTCTCCTAGCATGGATCCATTACAAGCTATTGCTATTGGTTGCCCTACCTGCACCCACATCCCACTCCTCACTTCAAGCCTGCTAGTGCCATCAAAGTGAGTTGATACTGTCACAGGTGGTGGTCGCCCCTGAAGAGAGCGCTACTAGCAAACTCGAATGTGGTGCAAGGAGCCACTGCCCCAACCCACCCTTGAACACCAAGTTAGTATGGAGGGGTTTCCATGTGCTCTCGGGGAGGCAGGAACATGCGGTGGAACTTTAGCGCCAGGCCTCAGTAGTGCTGGGAATCCTCCCTTATCCCCATGCCTACATAAAGGGTTGTGTAAAGTCCTCTTAACCTTAAGAAGATGCTAAATACATTCATTTGATTTTTAATTAATAAAAGCATTGCCACTATAAATGGGAGTATGAAAGAATTATAGTCATGTTACAACAGGGCTCAACGGGATGCTGTATTTCTATTAGATGTTAATGAGCATTAGACTTCTAAAACTTAAAAATTTCCTCTTTGCTGCTAGAGATCAACATTGAAAATAATGGCTAGACGTAATCAGGTTATTTTAGCTTAATTTGGCTTCTAAGGACCTAAAGTAGATCAGCTCCAAATTCCAATTTACCCTGGGCAGCGTATCATTACTCATTCTCGTATGTGTGAGAGCCACTTTGTTTCACACTTAACGTAACTCTGCAATCGCAGGAAATAATTATTCTAACCGGGGAAACTGAGATGTCTGTGGCTTTGGTCTTCCCACAGCAGTTCCGAGCATCCTGGAGCTTCCAAGCCTCCCCTAAGCTCCTCCAGTATGACATCACGGATTTTGTTACGACAGCAGCTCATGCGTGAGCAGATGCAGGAGCAAGAGCGTCGAGAGCAGCAACAGAAGCAGCAAGCAGCCCAGTTCATGCAGCAGAGAGTACCACTCAGTCAGACACCAGCCATCAACGTCAGCGTCCCCTCTAACCTGCCCCCTCCTACCCAGGTGCCAATGGAAGTCCTCAAGGTAAGTGAGTGTGACTTTTGTTCAGTTCACTGGCTCTCATGCTTGTCTAAACATGGTCTATGTAATAGTGACATGGTTACTGATGTTCATGGCAACTAAACTTCACAAATAAGCTGCAAGGTCTGGTTTCATTTTTAGCTTTAACTCAGTGTCCCAGTACCAGAGAAGAATGAGAAGTTTTTAACTTGATCTCCGATGCAAGCGTTAGTTTGTTTGAAAATGTCTGTCTTTCACATATTTAAAGATTCCCTCTTAAAATAATGAATATTTCAAACCAGCCTTCCATTTAAAACAAATTAATTTCTGATCAATAATGGTTTTAAATACTGAATCAAAACCCATTACAAAAGATCTTCTCAAAAAGACTTAATCTGGAATACGGGTGAGTTTCCAGCCTTTTGCAACTAGCCATTGTAATCCTTTTTGCTCAAATGTTTTGACTGCTATTAGTAGCTTTGAGTTCCTTGTTAGACTAGAAACTGTAGGAGCTTGTTAGTATCTTGCTGCCGGAGACTATGTAGCTTGCTAATTACTGAGAAAAACTGTAACAAGAACAGACTTAGTTTCACACATGTTGGGTAAGTTGAGATAGAGTAGTGTAGCGTGAAATGCCTTGTTAAAGGAACATATAAAATGATAGAAAAGATAAATGAAATAATTCGACATCAAAGTAGAGCACAGTAAGTATGCAAATACTGAATTTTATCTACCGCATGTAACTCCTTCTTTGTTTACTTGATATTACAATATGAAGGTTAGTAACTCTTTCTGGCCAGTAAGCAAACTGTAAACCAGTAAATCCAATTGAAGTTGGTTACAATAGAGTATTTTCAGAGTATGGTGTAGTGCTGGCATTTTTGTGTGTCAACTCCATTTTAAGCTTTGTTTTAAGAACAGTGTGGTAGATTTAAAATAAATATATCTTAAAGCAAACTGTGTACACTTGGGTATCCCACAAGTTTTGTATAGGTATTTTTATTTATCGTTAATACATTATCACTTATAGCGGTGTTAGTGTTGTCATGTTAAATAAAAAGAATGGTAAAAATGCCATTATTGGAGTTCTGCAAAAAGTAAATAGGATCAGATTTGAGTACAGCATTAATATGTTTTGGCCGTGAGAAGGAAGGACATTAAAGAATGTATCTGAATTTTGATTCAGGCTCTAATTTTCTGACTCTTCCCCCTAATACAGAAGCTATTAAAATGAACAAAGAATGTTTGACTGGAAAATAAATTATTTGTGATGAAGAAATGTACTGTATTTCTTGCGTAAATGCTATCGTGTAGTTTGAATGCACACCTAGCTGATAGGTATAGACTGTAATATTCTCCTATTCAGAATACACTTGAATTAACAAGGAAATGATGATGCATTCAGAGTCTCAGTGAAAGAGCTTTATTTCCGAATCTCCCACTGGGTATGTGTAATGTTTTATGCCACCTTTGGCATTTAATTATAGCAACATATTTGGCTTATTTCTGCTAAATTTGATCACTACTGGAAATATTTAATGCCCTGTTTGTTATGTGACTGCCAGAATCACAGCAGTAGTATTAGTAAGATGCTATAGATTCATTATTTTGTAGCCGCCTTCTTACATGAGAGAAGGGGCAGTCTCTTATTTTTTGATGGCGACTGAAGTAATAGCAGAGGCTCTAATAGAAAGAAGCTGGCAGGAGGTACCTGATGGTCAGTTATTAAATAACATAACATTTTAAGGGGGCAGGTTCTGCTTGGCCCACACACACACGCGCAATTGCGAGAGGCATGAGGATTGCTAGGCATGATGCCTAGGGATCAGGAAGAAGTGAGATCCTTGTGCTCAGAAAAGCCACCTCACTACTTCCCTAGGGAAGACCGGGCCCCAGAATTGATGAGAGAAGGGGGCTCCATTATTCAGCTTCCATCCTCTTCATTAGCCCAAGTGGGAGTAAGGCCCACCCTATAAAGGGGAATAGTAGTAAGTGTGCCCCCATTGTGCACAAGGAGTATTTTGCCTCCCACTGCTTCCTGTTTTTCCACGTGGTGCAGGGCATTCTGTAGTATCCCTTACTCTGGGCTGTGCCTTGAAAGTACAGTCTACCCCCAAATCCATATAGGCAATGGAGGAGGAAAACTATCTACCAGAGACACTGATCGCAGGAATCTTATGTGCCGCTCCATGGTGACTGACTGATTTACATCTTGGGGTACGTCTATACTTACTTCCTGGTCCGGATGTAAGCGATCGATCTTCTGGGATCGATCCCGGAAGTGCTTGCCGTCGACGCCGGTACTCCAGCTCGGCGAGAGGAGTACGCGGCATCGACAGGGGAGCCTGCCTGCTGCGTCTGGACCTGCGGTAAGTTCGGACTAAGGTACTTCGAATTCAGCTACGTTATTAACGTAGCTGAATTTGTGTACCTTAGTCCGAAGTGGGGGGTTAGTGTGGACCAGGCCTTAGAGTAAAATAAATATCTGTGCTAGCACCATCTGCATCAGCAAGTGCAACCATTATGCAAACCCATGTACTCTGAGCACCATAGTTAGTGAAATGACTGACACTTTGTGGAAGGGGAGAATCCATATAACTTTTTTTATTTTTTATTTATTTATGGAAGTTGCTAGAATTTGATCATTTTTTCTGTTATTTTTAATGTGGATGAGGTTCTATACAAAAATCATAACGCACAAAAATTCCAGGCATGACATTGATTCCACAGAAGTCTATGGCAGAATTCCCAAGGATATCCATGTGACAAGAATTTCACCACAGAGGTACACGTATGTTTTAAAGAAGCAGTCAGATTTAAATGTGGAATTGATACCAGGATATCGTTAGATAAGAGAAAGTGACAGCCAGCTGTATATTGAGGAACTCTTTATTTGCTACATATCTGTTCATCAGAGTTGATTATTTTATATGTCATCTGTTTTGAGCTATGGACCAGCTTCCATAAAGACTGGACATAAGCTTTAATTATGAGTAGGTCATTCTGATAGGTAAGTTTATTATCCTGATAGTCTGGGTTTAATGACTGAACAAAATGCTAGACTAAACTAGGACTTCTGTGCTTTCATAAACGTTAACGTGCCAAGTGACTTTTTAAAAGCAGAGCTGCTGAAGGTTATAGTGTCAACAAATGGGATTTTGGATAGAAACTTACTTTTCAAAAATCTGATTTTTGAAAAAGAAATTGGGTATCACAAAATTCATAAAAACATGAAAATGGACTTAGGAACACATGTTAAATAAATTATTGACCTTTCTGTTTTACAGTGAAGTGTTTCTTTGTCCAACTCATTTAACTCCTGTGCCGCATTCACCCAGTGTAAAAGGATAGTGATATTTCCAAGTCTGACACACAGTGCTTTGAGATGGATGATTTTTAAAAAAAGCTGTGTGCTAATAAAACAATAATTAATACAAACCATATACTGTCTGTTATGAAGGTACTTAATACAGCAAAAGAAGAGTAACTCATGTTAGCCCACTTCATATAACTGTAGCACTCTCAAAATTGCATAATAAAATGTAATATGTTCTTTATGGCTACATGAATGAATATGATTTAATGTGCCTAACTATGGGCTCCTAATTGCAGGTTTGATCTCTGAAGTGGGGTAACTTAGTGTAGTAAGAAAACACCCCTCAGAATGAAATTTTCTATTGCTTGGTGAAGGGTAATTAACTGATATTCTCTGGGAGAAGGTCTAATGCAGCTGCAGCGGTATGTGTTAGGATCCTGTGTTATAACAGGATTTGTTGTGGCATTCCATGATGCTCCTGCAAAGCTGAAACTGGCTGTACGGAATAGATGCAGGCTGCTTTAAATTTTCATGAGGAATGCATCCGATTAACCACATCCTGCTATCTATTTCCCATTGGCCTGAATTAACACCTGAGAGCTAAAACTGCAGAGACGTCACAGAGTGACTTGAGACTGATGCAAAATGATTTAGACATACTGTGCATCAAAAATAGGGCAAAATAATTTAAAATGTGTTAATTAAATATCTTGTTTACTGGAGGATTTTCAAGGCCCTGAATTCCATACTACGTTAATGTCAGATCTGAATCCATTTTTAAAGTGTGAAACACAAATTATTTTTATCTATATGGAGGAATTTAGCATTTTTGTAAGTAAGTCTAATTTTAAATGGTTCAATGTATTTTGGCTAAGTGATATGGACTTTTTTTTTAACGCAGTAGCTTCTTTCATCCCAGTGTTCTTTAGTTTTGTATACTTTTTGAAATTTTTTTTGGCGGGACGGGAGGGTTGTTTAATGTTTTGTCCAACCTGAATGTTTGGTCCTTGAATTGTTCTCCAGAGGACAAAGTTATGAACTGGGGAACATGTGAGTTTAAGGCTTTCATTTGTATGGAGTTTATTATTATTAATTGGTTCTGGCACAGTTCTGTCCTGAGGCCCTTTCACTGAAGAAATTGCATCAGTTGTACTTCACACGGGTTCTCTTGAAAGTGTTTTTCTCTATTTATGTTCTATACGTAGTGAGAATGTGAAGACTCCTGGGTACCTTACAAACCAGTTACAGTAGTAAATCTTTAAATTGTATTGGATACTAAATACTAACCTGGGTAAAGTGTCACCTTTTTACTATTGCCTTGTCTTGAAGACTACCATGCAGTCTTCTATAAAGCAAATCAAATTATATCTCAGCTCTTTGTGTATCTTTGATTCCAGTCAATTTGGATTTAGGCCTTTACATGGTATAGAGCTGTAGAAGCTGTAGAAACCACTCTGGTTGTGTTGATGGCTGATCTCCTCCTAGTCGTGAATGACTTTGAGCATTGGTTTGAGCATTGGCCTGCTAAACCCAGGGTAGTGAGTTCAATCCTTGAGGGGGCCATTTAGGGATCTGGGGCAAAAATCTGTCTGGGGATTGTTCCTGCTTTGAGCAGGGGGTTGGACTAGATGACCTCCTGAGGTCCCTTCCAACCCTGATATTCTATGATCTTAAATGGCTTGTGACCTGAGTGGCTGTCTCTTTTCCC